TTCCGCTCATGTCATTTTTTTCACGGGACTGATCTTGTCTTGGATATTGTTGAAAATCTGGTTGTTTTTTTGGATACGCATTTCTCTCGTAGGGATACTCTCTAGTCTGCTCGGAGTATTGACGTGGTGGAGAAAAATAAGATTGCCCAGGATTAGATGTATAAGAAGATACCTCTCTCTCTGTTTGTGGCGTTCTGTATATGGGTCTCCTGTCTTTCCCGGGTCGAGAGCTCTGCATTAATACAATCTCGTTGTGGTCGGTTTCATGACGTTCAGCTAATTGTTCTGCCAGCATAGTTGATTCATCTGCTTTGAGTAGTTCCATCAATTTCGATAAGGTTTCTGGATTGTGTAGATTTAGGTTAGTAAGGACAGCGGGTTTCAGTCCTCTCTTTATGTAATTTATGCATTTCTTGTCTTTCTTGCAAAGATTATCCACTCGCACTGCAAAAGCATAGCAGCTTTCTTCTTTCTTTTGTTTTGTATGCCATAATTTATATTGGATTGCTTCGTGTCTCGTCTCAATTGGTCCTCCACTATTTACAAATGAAGATTCTAAGGATTTCCAATCCCAGTCACCTTTTCCTTCACGCTCTCTTTGACTGGTATTTTGAATATACCATGCGAAAGCGTTTTTCCTCATAAACGACGGGAAAAGGTCAACTTTCATCTTTTCAGTCCAATGGTTGCTTTTTGCAATTAAATTGTAACTCTCAATCCAATCCATGGGGTCAGATCCAACGTCTCCATGATATTCTGGAGGTTTAACGGTGTATCTTGAGGGTTTCGTTATTGATTCAAGAGTTTTTCCGGCGTTTGGATCTTGAAAGACCGTTCCCGTATTAAATGTATAATGCGTTGGTCCTGCTTCTCCATCCAAATTGGTGGATTGAAAACGTTGTTTTTTATATGCCAATACTAAGTTCTCAATTTTTTTGCTTGTTTGATTAAATACTTCATCCAAATTTTCGTCTGCTATTAATTTTTCTGTTTTTATTTTATTCAGTTCGGCTTCTTCTTCCTGAGGCTTGTCCTCTTCTTCTCCCTCCTCTTCCTCTTCTTCTTCTCCATTTTCTTCTTCACGCTTCTCGGTAGGGTCAAACATGATTATAATTATTTCTTATTTAACTCTTTATTTACGGTAGTTTATTTCTAGGGGAATAATCTTATGGTACTGATATTTCTTGTAATCACAATTAGTTGAGATATCACTCAAAATCTTTGATATCACTTCAATTTTCCATTAATCAAGAGTCGTTCTTTTATATTTCAGCAATATAATTTCCATTTGCTGATTTAAATTTTTACTCAATTTGTTTCTCAGAAATCTTGTTTTCCATTTTCTTAATCTTATTAAGTCGGACACTGCTCCCGCGCAGAATAACCGTTCCCGGACGGCGTCCGCTTCTTCTGGCCAGGAATCGTGAACCTGTGGTTTTGGTGGACCGTTCACACTGTATTTATCAATTCTTCAATTTCTCATTGCTTTATTTACTTCTTCTATTATTTTCTTAATTCTATATTTCCTTTTTTGTCTTTGCTCTCAGTAATCCGGTTTTTACTGAGTGGAGTTGTAACCAAAGCGGTACCGTGTAGAATGGGAAAATATATCACCAACATACGGTAGGTGAGGTCTGTCTGTTTGCTTGGCATCCAATCATTTTAGTTGAAAAGGTTGAATATTATTAGGAGCAGTTGATATAAACAGTAATGTTTTCTTCCTTAGATGATTTCGTCCTCTGTCTTCCACGAGGCAAGTTGAGATTCAACGAAATGTTTGATTATTTTGATGATGGTGGTCAAAAATGCTTGGACATCTTCAAATGCCATAGCCACACAGATAACGATGGCAATTAGTATGGCTAATTGTATCCACATCTGGCAACAGGAGATAGCACACATCTTCTCTTCTTGTTGAATCGGGGAAAGTGGTGGGCAAAAAGAGGACAATTTCGCAGACAATGTGTATTACAGTTGTGTAATGAAGGGAGCAGGAATTAGTTTTTGAACGAAATCAGTAATTAATTTCAGTTGTCCAATTTCAAAAAGAGATTTAATTGCAGTGGTGCAATATTAAGAAGAGCAGGTTTAATTTCAGTGGTGCAATTTTAGAGGAGGGTAAGGATTAATTGCAGTTGTGCAATTTTAATGCGAAGGTGAGGAAATAGTTGCAGTTGTGCAACGAAGAGAGTTGCAGTAGTGCAACTAAAATTAGACGTCAATTGTTTAAATTTAAAAAAACCTAAGTGTCTCAGTTGTGAGACGATTCGAGATATAAAAGAAACGACATGCTACTGCAAAGAAAAGAAAGTATAATAGAAGCGAAGAACAGTTGTGTTCTTAAATTTTTCAACAGTTGTGTTGAATTTGCAGAGAAATACAATTAATCATCCATCAATTTACCTGAAAAAATTTTTTGTAGAACGAACAATTCTCCAAAATATGTTCCTGTTGCAGTAGTCTCCAGTAGTTTCTGCTGCTCTTCTTGCAGAATTTTACACTATCCCAAAATCTCGCTGCAGACACCAATTTGTAAGTCAATTGTGTGTGGGAATGCCGAATGAGGGACGTGAGACGAGTTCGGATAGGTTTCAATGGAAGTACAGATTAGATGTTTATTCAGAAAGAAAGTTGACAGTACAGAACAGAACCAAGAGTGAATGCTGCTCACTCTTTTTATCATGCAGAGTCGGAGAAAGTAGAACTTTCCCCGACTTTTACAATCGTTGTACGCATGTTCTGGCTTCTCTCTTTGTCTGATGCTTATGCATCGTGACACAAGTAACTAAATACACTAGTGGTTAACAGGGAGAAACTTTTTGGACACACTCTACCTGCATATAGATATTTGTCTACCAGTTTACTTCTTGCAAAGTCGGGAACATTTTTAAACCTGCATAGGTATGGTTACTACCAACTAATAATTACTCTGCATGGACTTGCATCGTTAGCTGATGCTACACTTATTATCTAAGATTTGACTAATTGCACCCACCTTTTTAAAAGTGAATCTCTTATAAAACTAAGTACCCTAACTACTCTGTTTGATCCCATCCCACAAACAGTACGCTAATGTCTTCCGAAATTTTACCCTTGAAGAAATCTCAACCACCAAACTCCCCCCGGCCACTCCCCAGATAAATGAGAGAAGCAAGAAAAGCTTATCTAACCCGTTTCCAAACCCGATAGAATTAACATTTTCTTCCGAACCTTCATTCGTGACATTTTTCCTCTTTACATTCACCATTCTATCATACCGTTCATATTCCTTGATGAGATTATTATGATTCTCATAACTTTTCAACAAATAATAAAATCCCCCCTCAATTGCAGTCTTAAACATCTTCGGAATCTTTGATGAGGTCAGAACCCTTTCAAATTTCAGGTAGTATTGTTTCCTAAGGAATCTTTCTTTCCTTAAATACCATTCTTTATTTGGGAATCGCTTCTTCAATTTCTAGAGGTACGATAAAACAACCTCTTCACTTCCAAAAAATGCGCTCTTCCCACATTCCGCCAATTCCTTATCTACCTCTGAAATGATCTCATAAGCCCCCCTTCTATTTGTATAAGAAAAAGGTACATAATCAGTTAACGCTTTAAACTGTAACGACGACAATAGTCGTTTTATAAGAAATGGTTCAATTCGGGAGTACGACAAAAGTCGTCCTGAAAAATCGAGGTCATGGCGCGGAAGGAAGACAATTGTCGTTTCTAGGGGGTCATTGATTTTCACCATTTTCTATCCGCGACCTAAAATTTGTTGCAATTTTGAGGGATTTCTCCTATGCCAACACATTGCTAAATTTGAAGATTTTCTTCCCAAAAAGTTTGATATTTCCCTATACAACTCAATGTTAAATTTTTGATTTTTCAGTTTTTCGAGTTTTATTAAAAACTCGAAAAATTTCTCCTCCCGCGCCATGGCCACAGCATACTTATAGTGTCCCCGATTTAATGCATTTTCTTGTCGTTAATCATACACGTTAAAGGGTTAGTTTATGCAAATATTTGCATACACTACAATTAATTTGGTGTAAATGCTGACATATTTGCAACTTGTGAGGCTTCAATTTGTCCCCACATGAAGTTAACTTACACCAAGCTGAGCGCACAAACCGCAAATAAATATTTAAACCTAATTATTTGCAGAATAGTTAAACATTTTTGAACGAAAATTAGAAGGCCTAATTTTATTTTTACACATATCAAGGAAATTGAGATCCCCGCAGCCAACTGCTCAACAAATGAAATGTATTGCGCATTGAAGTCTAGATGCATTCCTAAATATAACTCAAGCCTTTGCACAGAGAATGAAATCCAACCCACAGAGGAACCCGGAACAGGTGAGGAAATTAGTATGCAATTAAACAAAACAATTTTGGGTGTATTGAATAAATATTACTTTATACCCTACATCAATCTTAATAGCTCCCGCAGATCCAACCATACTACCACAACCCGCCTCAATTATTTTAGCTGTTCTCATTTCAATCTTAATCTCCACAATTTTGATCGGCATGTGGTATAGAATCAAGACAAGAACGAAAAATAGGAAATCTACAACTACACAAAAATCTGGTATATATTTCATATATTAAACGATATCTATTGCCTATCTTTAAATTGCGAGTGCCATGCTCAAATTGAATTTCAGCCCGCCTGCAATGTCAATAATGCTGGCACGTGGTTCTCGCGCATGTAGATACTGGCGCCAGCAATTCCAATAGACAGGCAATAGTCCATCGATCTACATAAAGTTTTGGTGCCCAGTGCATAATCTTTACAACACAGATATCCCTCTGGACCCTATTATCTTAACTGAATTGGCGCTACTACTTCCCCCTTGTCCCGTTACCCGAATCCGATCCCCATGGAAATCGGAGCCAACCCTAATTTGCTTATCTCTCTTGGGTGCGGGATCATTCGGTAAGGTTTATCATGCCGATGACCTATCCGCCATAGTTTCACCGACCGGATACGCCGTCAAATGTGTCGACATGGTACGAACCCTAAGTGGTGGTGGTGACGATTCAACGAACAAATCGAACCCTAGCTCAACCAGTAGGAACGCCATTAATCCGCCAAAGTACGTCAGCATTCTGCTCAACGAAATAGTAATCATGAACCAACTCACTTGTGATAATGTCGTTCGTTACTACGGATGCTGGGCTGAGGCAGAAAATAGCAGTCAGTTGGTCTTAGACAAATCTCGACTGGAAAAATATATTCAACAAATTCTACAGGATTCTAGCGCTGTTGCCTCCTCTGGATCTCCGTTAAGTCATATCTTTATCAAGATGGAGTTGTGCCACACGACGTTAAAACACTACTTGGAGAAGTGGTCGCATCGCGGGGATGAAATTAGCATTTTACTACAAATTGCGGCAGGATTGTGCTACGTAGACAATAAGTTGTTTATCCATCGAGATATCAAACCTGGAAATATATTTTGCAAAATTGAACCTTCCGGTTGTCTGACATGGAAACTGGGCGACTTCGGTTTAGCTGTGAAAATAAGTGATGAGGGGAATTCAGGAGTAGCGGGGACATTCACATATCAAAGCCCAGAAATGAGGAAACATTTGAAATACACGGCTAAGACAGATTTATTTAGTTTAGGCCTAGTTGCTGTAGAAATAATACATCACGATAGAGGAAAATTTAATAGGTTCGATATTTTCACTGAATTGCGTAGGTTAGAAGATTTAGAGCGACGAAATTATTTGAATAGATGTGCAAGTGGTAAATCCCATAATTTAATAAAAATCATCAACAGATTGCTAACTGTTTCTCCGGCTAACCGCCTGTGCTCTGAAAAATTGTGTGAGTTGTTATGTAGAGTAAAATAAATACATATACTAGAATATCTTGAAAACAATAATTCCATTATTTTTTGTACGGATTGCTGAAGTATGGTCACATCGCATCAGGCAATCTGTGGGCAAGCTCCATCTCCGATGACAATAATTTTCAAGAACAGTTTTTTAGCCCGGCCCAGGCCTTATGTAGCCGTGTCGTCCACATGTCTGTCCGTTTATCCGTCTGTACGTCTTGTGATTACTCTCTTCAAACTTATCCGGTCCTATTGAAATTTTGCACATACTTAAAACACGCAAAATAAGAAACCAAGTGCAAAGGTAGGTTGGGTTGGCAGACTCCAAAATGGTTATTTTTTTGTTCAAAATTTGTAAGGAGCCAAGCCTATCATATATATATATATTCTTGACCAGAGTGACTCAGGGAATGCGCCTAATTTTTTTTGTGAGGTCACACCCCCAGGGGAGCGAACCACCCCCCCTGGGGGGATAAGTTCAGATTGACCCCTGAATATTGTAAAGCAACTATCGCTGATGTTACCTGCCAAATTTTAGAATTTTCCCTCGCATGGTTCGGGCGGTTCATGCATTTGAAGCTTGTAAAACAGGCGTTTTAGGGCTTTTTCGACCACACCCCCTACCCTAAGTGGGACGCACGGGGAAGTGAACTTGGTGCTGTCTGATCTACCCCTTCGAGTACTACATAATCCTACAAAGGTTCCTTGGAATCGAGCAGGATGCTCTAGATATTTCATGCCGAAATCGTCCACCATTTTTTCACCATTTCCCATAACATTAGTTGCCTAAGTTTGAAAACTTGCTTTGGACAGTTTGAAAACTTGCTTTGGACAGTTTGAAAACTTGCTTAGACAGCACCAAGTTCAGTTCCCCGTGCGTCCCACTTAGGGTAGGAGGTGTGGTCGAAAAGGCCCTAAAACGCCTGTTTTACAACCTTCAAATGCATGAACCGCCCGAACCATGCGAGGGAAAATTCTAAAATTTGGCAGGTAACATCAGCGATAGTTGCTTTACAATATTCAGGGGTCAGTCTGAACATACTCCCAGGGGGGGTGGTTCGCTCCCCTGGGGGTGTGACCTCACAAAAAAAATTAGGCGCATTCCCTGAGTCACTCTGGTCAAGAATATATATACATATATGATAGGCTTGGCTCCTTACAAATTTTGAACAAAAAAATAACCATTTTGGAGTCTGTGGTTGGTAAACCGGTGGGGGTCATATAGGTGGTGGGGGTCAAGGGTGGCGAAAATTCAAAATTGTCGTAGAAGGCTGAAATTTAAATAATAATATGTTTTACTACCTCGGTATTAGCTTATAGCTACAAATGTAACTTACAGGTTCTAAGGACAGAATGTGAAGTAAAATTTTGATATTTGTTTTCTTGGGGGACCCTGGGGGGGTCACCCATACCGATTTTTCAAAATTGTGCAATCGAGATTAAATTTCGCAGGGAGGATGATAATGACCCCTCAATGCAAGAATTTGAAGTGAATTTGTAAAAATTTCGATCTGGAGGGACTCTACATGATTACACATACCGGTTTTCCAAAATGGTCCTTCGTATTAATTGGTAAATGCATGACTCCTAATGGAAGAATATGAAGTAAAATTGGAGACATCTTCATCTGGTATTAATGGGGTACCCAGTAAGAAAATTTTGGATATTACTTAAATAATATGTTCGGGAAATCGTCCATAATATATGCTGGTTTCTGTAAGAGGATGGCAGACGTTCCAAAACAAAATACTCATCAAAAAATGTACCTTTCACGCACCTTTTATCCAAGTATTATTTACCGGAGTCAATTCCATAAAACGTACATATTATGTGCGTATTTTCCGGTCCATTTTATTTACATAAAATAATCGTTTCCGACCATGTATATTCGGTATTTATTAAAATTTTATGCAATAAAAATGGAAGGCAATTTTTTTTACTTTTACTTTTTAATTATTTTTATTTTATAAACTTGAAGTTAAAGCATGGGAATACAGTATAGCATAAATTTATCTACACTATCACCTGGAATTACAATACATTTTTTAGATAACTTATAAATATCAATTTCACAGGATGATGTAAATTGAGAATTTAAAAAACAAATTCCCAGCAAAGAACTACGAATTGGATATCCCTTAACATCAGTACAATTAAGATAAACTTTACAATTTACAACTGGCTTATTATCAACTACAAATATTTTATCTACTTTAACAAAACGACCATCTTCAGTAACAAAGTGATTATCACCATCCTTTATTCTAATACAAAATTTGTCAAGTTCAAACTTTTTAAATTCACCATTCTTCTTTGGCACATTTATTTTATGCTTAGATTTAATTGTAGAATAATGACTTGAGCTACAGTTATCATATTCTTGTACCCGTTTAACAACTTGCTCAAGCTGACGATTGTTGCCCCTAATTAATTTTTTCAAAAACTGTAAATAGCTTTCAAACTCAAAAGCGCTAACATTATCTAATTTTCCAAATTTTAATGCATCATCGGATAGATGTAACAATGAATGCACATTATAAACAATAACAGAACCTCCATAATATCTTTGTAAATCTTTAACAAATAATTCTATTAGCTCTCTTGCCGTATTATTCCTATTAATATTATTTGCGGAAGACGAGAGCAAAATATATATAGCAGTGTGAAATATGAGAAAATGGTTATAAAGATTGCTGGGAAGTATATTGCGTAAAGCTGCGGGGCCTACATATAAAAGAAACTGTCTGAATTCAGTAGCTTTAAATCTTTTTATGTCTTTTAAATCTCTAGGTTTTCTTGAAAATTCGCAAGGAAAAATCTTGGCAATTTTAGAAAAATTTTCTGAGATTATTTTAACTTTTGCTGTTGGAAGTCTAGTTTTTATGGGACCACTCAACCAAAGCAATAGAAGTTTTCTAGTAACACCTAAGCAAACTAAGTGCATATAATCCAAAACAACCTCTGACACTAAATCAATTTTAGTTTTAAGAAAGGGCGAGTCGCGCAAATGATGGTCGGAATCGATTTGTGAACGGAAGCTTAAGTCGGTACGTTTACTACCAGAAAAAGTCGGAAAAACTATTCTCTTTCCATCCCATTCACCTTCAACATCACATCTCTCACAACTACTCCTACCATTGTGAGGTTTAATTCCTTTAATAAAACTTCTTGCAGGAGCGTCAGCTATTATGCATTTAACACGGACAGAAAAATTTGTTGTCCTCATTAATATTCCACTAGTTTCTAGTTCAGTTAATTCCGTAATAAATTGGTTAAGAAATTCATCCAAGCTACTGGGCTTCCTGTCACCACAAAACAAGCCGGCAATTATTGGTCTAGAATTACTAATCTCATTAATCTTGAATAAAATAGGCCACATATCAGTTCCAGAACTCTTGCAAATTGGAAAACCATCTGTGCCAATCGTTAATGTCAACTCACTAAAAGGAAAATCTGCAGGTATAATTTTTAGAATTTGACTTTTTATCCCGAAATAGAAAAACTTTCCACCTGCAAGAGTTTGGATACAAATATTACGTGGCGTTTTCAACAATGTTTTTGAACATATTGGCAAACTACTCGAATCAAGAAAATGAGGCTTAATAATTTTTAGTAAGTCTGAGAGCGCGGAGTGTGTGACATTGTGCTTAATTGCCCAATCCCTAATTTCATGATCTATAGTAACTTTAGATGATAGGACATTAATATTCTCTACAGTAACTACTCGTCTATCTACACTAATACTTTGCGGTGGACATTGAATGCCTTGTACATTAACAACATAATTTCTATTAATAGTGGTTTCACCTACGCCAATATGTCTAATACTATTGTTAAGCTCTTGAAGTAATGTATTTGCTTCTTCGTTAACCCTCCTCCTCCTCGTCCGGTACGACGACATTCGTTGTTTTTCTGGAAGTTCTGCCACCATCCAAGTCTTTTGCGTTCCCTAACCAGCGTTGAATAATTCCCACAATTTCCGATATTGTCAATTTTTTCCCAAATTCACTGGCTAGGGTGGCTTCTAGTTAAACAGAAATGGCGTGTTAGTGAAACATAAAGCTAAATATCCAATCATACACCCACCATTAATCTATTCAATAAAAGCTTACCGATAACTAGACGATTCAATTTTAAATTGTTAAATGCTGTTTTCCCATTTGTGCCAACGTAATTTATTTTTTCAGCCAAGCCTTTAGTGAGGGTACTTGCTAAAATTCCAGTAACAACTTTCAGTGCTGATTTGCCTCCATTTTTCTTGAAAATTTCTACCTAGAAACGAGTACAAAAATTATTTCCGTCTTGGGATATGAGAATAAAAATTGCCAAATTGGTGTAAATAATAAATATCTATTAATAGCATACGAGCTTCGAGCAATTATCTTTTTCCTTTAGCCAATCCTCCAGAATTAAAACATCAGATTCGTTTTCCAGGGGGAGGTTCACTGGAATAACAACACTATTTTCTACAGATGAATTAGCGTCATCGGTCCGGAGTAGCAGAGTGCGAATATCTTGGCGAATATCTGAGATTCCATTTGCGACCATTCGCTCCAGTGCTAGTAGAAATTATACACAAATTTAAAAGATTTTAAACCATTTGAGAATTCAAAATACATGCGTGATAGAGAAAGTTCTTACCAACTTGACGAAGATAAATATCTTCCAAAGTCACTCCACGAATACGGGTAGCAGCGATTTCTGCATTCCCAGCCTGAGTCCTCACAGGAGGCGGGACATCAACTTGTGAGAGAGGGGGGGATGACCAATAATGATTTCCTGACCCTGCGGCTACTTGATGTTCACTATTTGGACTTGGTAATGTTGGTATTTGTGATGTTGGCGAATTCAACCCAGCTGGATCGTTGACAACGACATGAAGTTGGTATTTACTTCCGTCAAATTCTAGTAAATCTGAAACAAGAAATATGGTAATGTTATGGTATCGGTAGTATTTCTTATACTTTTGAATTTAACAGGCTTGAACTTAGAATTATAATTTACGTACCCTCTTCCCTAATACTTATCGATTTACTTGAGAAACTTTGAGAATGGTTCCTTTCTTCCTCTTCAGATGACGATGACGGTCGTCGCTGTCTTTTTCTTGTAGGTTTCAAACCCCTATCCTTTTCGCCAAGTTCGTCTTCTTCAGCTTCAGTTGTGTCAAGGTCCGATGAAGTGGTGGCCTGTTTTTCCAAATTCTTGGCTTCAAGATAATTATCTGAGTAAAATATAATCTAATTTTATATGATGATGACTTATGTGTGAGTAAAATATTAATAAAATGAGATTCTCAATTATAATGTATTTAAATGGCGAGTGGAATTTATATAAATTAATTAAATAAGCTGATTTTTCTTACTAGTTGATTTAAATATCCGTATATCAAATAAAGGCCAATGGTCACCCGGTTTTTTGACTGCCCGTATATCTGCACTTATATCCTTACAAGGACCTGGTGGCCATTTACATTGACCTTTGTTAGTTGACAGCCAGGATGAGGGAACTACCTGAACACTACTGTCAATTTTAAATTTGACTACTGAAAACATTTCGAGCAAACAAAATTTCGGTCAACTGTATTCCTACTGGTGTGAGGTGGACTGGGAGAGCGCGTCGTATATCGCGCACTTTTTCTCTTTGTGTACAAGTGATGCATATTATTTGGATAAAATGTTAGGGAAGGACCGACTGAATTACAACGTACATAATATGCAGCTTTTATGGAAACAACTTATGAAGGTTTTATTCACCCGATGCTGGTGAATAAAATGTTATTTTAATTTGATGGAAATATTGCAAGAATAAATAATTGAGTATTATGCACATAAAATGTTAATGCTTTCCCTAACCAAAATTTCCCTTAAGAAATATCGAGTTCCCTAACCAAATATGCAAGAAATATGATGTCGGTTCTTCATGGGTAAGCTCCACCCTTTTGTTTCACCCCTCCCACCATAAACTCCGTCCAGATGGTCGAAAGTGGGTCATGTCGTCATGTGGAATGATATTTAACGTCCCAAAACTGACAAGGGAACCACTTCTAGTGTCCCATCTCGATTTCTCGAAGAATTCAAATTTGTGAAATTTTTCCGATTTCACAATTTGCAAAAAATTCACAAATGCTTGCATAGCGTTTTGCATATTCGTGATCGGGCTGAAATTACATATATATTTTTTCAATATTCCATAAAGTTCATTTCATCATTCAAAAGGCTCGTGGCTAAGTTAAAAGCATAGGGAAAATGGCAGGTTGTGGTGAAACTCTTGCTAAATATTTCGCGAAAACGCGATTTTGCACCACATGTTCTATGACAAAGTTTTAGTTTCACTAAATTATCTGTCGCTTAAGGCTATTCCGAAGGAAATCGAGATGAGACAGTAGAAGTGGTTCCCTTGTGAGTTAATTTTACAATCACTGGCAAATAATAATCGTAATATTTTATGCAAGTCTCCTTACTATACTATACTAACCAGGGTAAAACAAGAAAAGATTTACCTTGTAATTCCATTTTATAATAATATTTCTAATTTCAAAGACATTTTAATTAGTTTTATTGAAAAATAAAAATGAGAAAAGCAAAGCTGATGAATATAAACATTTCATCAGTAATATCATTCGTTATAAACATCTTAAAGAAATTCAATAAAGTAGAAACTTTTTCTAGGCCAAATTCAGTGTAAATTTACCCAACACATGGACCACACTCATCTTCTGACTCCACACCATAATAATAAAAATATTTGTCAACCAGAAGACGGTAAATTTAATTCTTAACAATTCTCAATTTATTTGAAGTTGATTTTTTAAAATGTAAGAGCATTATGTAATGATCAATTTAAATTGTTGCCTGATGAAGCAAAAATTAATTGCGAAACGCGTCGCGAGTTTTTTTTACAAATTTGTTTGGATTTGTTTTCTCCACTTTCTTCAAATAGATCCTAGGATGCAGCTTACCGTACAATTTTTTTCCCATAACTCTGGGCGGATTGTCTTGGTTTATGTAAATGTTATCTATAAATGTAAGGCACATATGTAAAATTTGTTTCGAAACATTGTTTCATACAAGGCAAATATATATTTACTTACGGAATCCCGCGCATTAGGGAAAATTTCCAACAGTTCTGCATACAGGTTAGCACGAGCTACAGTGTAATGGTTTGGATGGCTTAGGCTCGACAGGCTAACCTTCCTTACTGACTCGGCCACCCGGAGTTCGCTATCTTCCGGCGGAAGAAATACCGCCAAGCTTGAAAAATCCTCCGTCCCCGTGGTAACAGTTAAACTTTCCAATCGCGGGAAACACACTTTGTAGTCAATTCTACCAAACTTTTCCGACTCCAGGGGCCCCCATATTAAGCCAGTTTCAAACTCTACTTTTCTAAACCAAAAATTGTTGCCAATTGTCAAATCCTTCATAACTGGGAAAACAGGGAGTTTCCATTCCAGTTCTACATTGTCCTTGGCCCACTTCATGTAGAACTTTAATTCCTCCAAAGTTGAGGAATGTTTTTTTAACAATTTGTACAAAAGCAGAGGCAGCTGGTACACTCGATTGGCATCATTTTTCAAGTAAATAAATTGAAGTGTAAGCTTCCTTAAAGGAACAGAAATATCCAGTAGACACTTCATTACGTTTGCGTTCACTTCTTCCGCCACGATTAAGGACCTTAGTGATCTAATAATTAATGACCACGCAATTCATATACATAAATTATGTGAAACTAACAAGGGACACTCACGACCTGTCGTTTGAGTCCAGGGTACCCACTATGTTTTTTAGAATCTACTAGGACCCCAGATGAAGGATTCATTCATATTTCCGTGTAAAACTCATATTTGGCGCCATGGCGTGGCGCTAAATTCGCCAAATTTGATGCTTTTTCATTTTAAAACCGCCATAACTTTTGAAATCCTGGACGGATTTTCAAAATTTTTGGCAAAAATCATGACAAGGAGTTCAACTTTCGTATTCTATGAAATTTTTTCCAAAATTATCGCTTTTAACTTTTCGCAAAATTTCGAAATTTCGGGTTCGTCAAAAAAATGCTAAACATATCTCAAAAATTAAAATTTTTTGGTTTTTATTTTTTTCTCTAAAATTTCGACTTTTCTGATCATTTTAAGCATACAACTTAAAAAATCCGACATCAACTGCAAAAGTTATGGGGGTTTGAAATTGGTCGAAAATGCAAATTTTTAAGTTTAGCGCCACGCCATTGGGCCAAATATGAGTTTTACACGGAAATATGAATGAATCCTTCATCAGGGGTTCTAGTAGATTCTAAAAAACATAGTGGGTACCCTGGACTCAAACGACAGGTCGTGAGTGTCCCTTGTAAGTCGCATTGATAACCAAACTTACGTCGGCAACATCGACAATTCTCCCGCCTTTGATATTCCAAGCAGTAGGCGGCCCTCAACTTGTAGACATTCCAAATTTGTGAAGTCTTCCATAATAAGCCGGCCAATCGTCACATTGCATGTGTACCTTGGTTCTTGACAATACTCAATCACAGCTTGCTTCAATCTCGGAAAGACCGTGTCACAAAGTGGAGAGAAATCCTGAGTAGGGTCACCCAGCACAAACTGTAAATTTTCCAGAGTAGGAGCCGAAGACAATAATATTTGATAACAGAGTTCCTGCTCCCACCCTGGGTCTGAAAAAAACTCGACAAAAATCGATTTCACATTTGTTACAGTTGGAAAGATGTTGATATCCGTGGGTGGCAGGGTCGATGCGTTTAGATTTGCAGAGTACAAGCGGATATCGTTAGGATGAAATTGCAGCCTTTCCACCAGACCTGTCCATCTTTCTGGGTGGTCGTCGCTATAATTTTTACTATATAATCGAAGAGTGGTATATGTCCTCTCTTGGAGAACGGGAATAGCACCGTAATTCCACGATTCGCAGACCAGTCGACACTGCTTTACGTCCTTCACCCCGAGGAATTTGCAAAGATGCGTAACTACCTACGGGTATTCATAGGAGGCAAAATATTACAAACTTTGAAAGTATTATTTTTTATGACAATTAATTATACCTCGGGTATGAGCACATTGCCTGGATCAATAATGGAAGTGGCTTTGTTTTCATCATCGGAAAAAAACATAGCATCGTCCTCCTGGGTAGAGTAGAATCGTAAATTATTTGATTTTACTTTATAGTTAAATCGCAGCCTACCTCCTCCGACAGGTCGCCATGACAGCAGGAAAACATCACGGATTACAATTAATTGTATGGACCGCAAGTTATAATTCAAAGTAAATTTAATGTCTACAAGTTGACACAGGCGGTGATTATGCCGAAATTGAATGCAGATTTCTGTCTGCTTAAAGCTGGCACGTATGCTTATCTGTCATACCGCACGCGATGAGCAAATAATCAGTGAGCATAACCAATGTGTTATCTTTGACATGTTATTTTCAGCAGATAAAAACTTCCAGTGAAGCAATTCTTTAGCCCGAGTCAAGCATACATAGTTGTACTTGTTTATCAATCAATCCAACTATTTTACATGAAATTCTGTCATATTAGGTAAATGCTAAAGGTATTAATATTACTATTAAGATAGGAATGCAGAAAATATTTTTGTAACATTTGTCATTATTTATACATAGCAACACCGATTATAAATATCTAGTGTCACTTCGAAGTGCTTCAGTTCAAGTTCATATTCCACCAAGCTTCGACCTAATGAAAAAAGCCAATTCCAAATTCCAGCTCGATCGGACGATTTTGACAAATCGGCATGGCTCCCCCCAGATGAATTTTTCCAATTTCACCTCGTATTCTTCCATTAGGAGTCATTAGTAACCTGCATACATAAGTATTTTTAGCCTTCTACGACTATTCAGAATATTCTACACCATGGACCCCAACACTGGACCAATTTCTGCCTTCTTCGAACTCGTTTCCTAAGTTTGACCAATATGCATATGATGAAAATTTCAGGGTTGTATTTGTGTAGGTGTTATATGAAATATGCGCTGATTTAACTAAACATTAACCTTTTACAGATAGATAATTAAACACCGTATCAATCCAACAGAGTTTGATTGATTTGGTAAAATGTGAGCGAGATAAGAAATACTTGACAATAAGTTTTGACAAGTCCGTTAATTAACTTGTGGCAATTTATCATCGGTTTTCCTCAATATTTTATATATTTATTCAATATATTCCTCAATATTTCCTCAATATTTTCCTCAATATATGTATATCTACAATTTTGTGGCGTGCAATTTGCAAGTTTTTGACATTTAAATATCCATAACTTTATCCGTTGTAAACGAATTCGCTTGAAATTTTGCACGATTGTAGCACGAAATATTGTTGATAATTGGTGTTAAAATCAATTTGAAATACTAACCTATTTTGGAGTATTTGTGATTTGTAAAGAACGTCCGGGAATGAATGGGAATGGTCTGAAAATGTGGTCATAAAATCACAATGAGTTATCGGAATTTTAAACTTTTTGCATATGTATAATACCAAATACGTACCTACATAATTTAATTAATAGCTAAGGCCGCCACACCCCCGTTGGCGACTAGTTCGATTTTCTTGCGAAGATTTTTCATTAAATTTTTTCCCGAAGTTTTTGCCACTTCCGAGGTGATTTTCTTCCATCGTCCTTTGAATTTTCGAAAGGTGTCAGGCACATCTTGAAGCCGGGAGTATACTGACTTAGAACGTGCCCAGAATTTTTCGATTGGGCGGAGTTGGGGTACATTAGGTGGGTTGATATCTTTTGGTACGAAATCAATATTTTTCTTTCTGAGGTACTCGGTCACTTTCTTTGCATAGTGACAAGTGGCGAGGTCAGGCCAAAACAAAACTTTATCATTTTTGTGAAACCTATTAATAAATGCTTCCAATCCAGCCTTGACGCAATTTTTCAGATAAATATCTTGATTGATATTCCCTTCGAGAACTACCGGGTCTGATACATGTCCGTGACTGGAGATGCATTGCCAAATGCAATATTTCTTTGGAAATTTGTCTTTTTTTCGTACTTTTTCTTCATAAGCCACTTCAGAGGGATCCGAGCTATGAAAAAAATGACGCCCTGGAAGATTTGAAGGGTCAACCGGAACATACGTTTCGTCATCCAGGATCACTACTTTTCCACGCATTTTCTTCAACAATTTTTGACAGCAATCCTTGATCCGACTTTCTTGTACGGGCTTGTAATTTGGTGCAGGTTTTTTGGTCCTTGCTTTGATTCCTAATTTATGGACCTTAATTTCCCCCAGGTAGCTTTTGGAAATTTTGACTTTCCTGGCAGCTACAGCTACTGACGTTGATGGCTTGGTTTTGAAAATTTTTTCAATTCTATTTTTCACTCGAGTGGTCGCTAGCTTCGCCGGACGACCAGCTGGCTTCTTGAATTGCACATTTTCGGAATCCTTGAACTTTTTTATGTAGGAATACACATTTGAACTTGGAATTCCTTCCTGCTTAAAAAAGTTCCAGGTCACCTTGGAGTCTCGGTTGGCTGTCGTGTTGTAGAACTCCATCACTCGTTTTGCTAACAGCTCCCTTTCAAACAAGCTTCTTCTACCCTTATCCATTTTTGAAATTTAAGAGTGATATACCAAATTGACCCTAATGAAGTGGGCTTTCAGAAATTTAAATTATTATAGTTCGCGGGTTTATTGATTTGTCAATATACTCGCTAGAGCGCGCATTCCCATTCATTCCCGGACGTTCTTTATGAGGCATGCATGCACTGCATCTACAATTTACTGGGATACTGTACATACGTGCGCTATTTCTCTCACAAAATAATCAAAAATAAATATACAAAAGGCGATTAGAGACAGTCTTGACCACTTCAAACCTTAATTACGGTATGGATTTTAGCTGTAGAGATTTCTAACATTTTTTATGTGAAAGGCCATGTCTTAATCTGTAGGTAAAAATATCTGTCTTCTGATTTTGTGTACTCTAAGAAATGAGCCAAGGTCAAATTTGGAGGGGTGTTCTATTTTAATTTTCCAAACCAGTGTTCTTATTAAATGGCGTTGAACGAAAGATTTTTTATCTTAAGTTCTGATGCAAAAATTGTCTTTTGCGACAAAAAATTAGTCAAAAATCAAATTAGCAGTCTTTATTATTAAGCATTCTAAATTATATATAAATATGACGACACCGTACTTACTTCCGCTGCCTAGGGAGGCATCAACAAAAAAATACAGATTAAGGAAATCGTAAATAAATGCCGACGCATAAAGTTTCAAATATGCATAATGGTTAATATTGACGAGTACTATGCACAGAGCATATAAAACAACCCAGAGTTGCATGATGCCGATAAACTGATAATAAACGGATAATTAGACATAAGTGGTCACTTACGTACACTAGTTTAATAGGTGTTTCGGAATAGGGCAAATCTAAACTTCCTGTTTGCATGTGGAACTTCCGCTCAAAAACACATATTTGGACCGGAGAGTTTCCTGAATTGCTTAAAATGAATGAGTAACCATTAGAACTATGCGTAGGAGTTTAATTTATGCAATTTAATTCACCACGGGTCATACCTAATGGTCAAATCGTTTCAGTCCCACTGCAGCTGTCCGAAACTTATAAACAAAAACACCAGTAAAAATGACACCGATCATTTTCGCGCTTGCTTATTTTTTACGAATGTGGTTGCCACGTCGAATCAAACACTTGAAAATGTGTCACCTCCACAAGTATTTGAAAATGGTGCGATTTTCCTTACAAGTAAATTCAACAGCAATTACCACATCATTGTGGTAGTCATCGTTGTAAATAAAATTTATCCGAATAAAACATATTCATTCAAGATATTGACAAAAGCGGTAGCAACGTTATTTATTTTAGTAGGGTTTGAAACAGCCGAGTCGATTAAGATATCACGAAGCTTGTCCTCGTTTACCCAGCTTGGAATTAGACGTGAAATAAATATAGTTGCGAATGGGGAGTTGATAAAGCGAGAAATTACCGACAGATGGTGGGGTAAATGTTTATTATTTGGTCCAGAAATATTTTCGACGTCCCGCAAAATCCCCAAGTTCAACATGTCCGACGCCTACTTCCGAACGTCGCAAGGCATCATTCTTGACTACTACAAGTTGGAACGGAATAATTTTGTGAGGTCAAGAATCGTAAAAAATCGATACCAAATGGTCATCAAAGTTCTCCTTGAACGTCTCAACTTATCGGTTGATGCGTGCGGGAGACATCGTTTCCCTCGAAATGGATCCGAACGCCATATACACTTCGGGGTATCGTCGTACATTGAGCAGAGCGCGATGTCTGGTATTTCGCAGCTGATTCATTCACGGGAGCAGTTCAAAGTTAAGTTTGCCACAGTCAAACAAAAAGTATACATTGGGAATTTCATGACCCTAATTTCCCCTGTTGGATGGAAGCTCCTTGTCGCATCAGTCTTGGTTGGTGTAACATTAGGAACATTACTACAGATCCACATTTCCCTATCGTCAAAACTTCGAACAGCCGGCGGGCAGAAAAATCACCCAATATCGCCCATACTTATCGTGATGTTCTTCGTTCAAACGTTTCTCGATCAATGCAACGACCCAGCTGTTACTCTAGGACGGGGTAACGGATTACATCGAGGCATTCGTTATCTCTACCTTTCCTGGTTGTTATATTGTTTCATTGTCACAGCGACGTATCGATCAAATCTAATCAATATGTTCAGTCAGCCGGGACACACAACCCATATCAAAGGTTTAGCGATCGAGAATGAAAACATAGCCGGCATGGGAACAAGCAGCCGTCCTGGCCAGAGGTCGGATGTTAAAACGATTCTTGACACGGAGGCCGCAACTTCATGTTCAAAACGGGAAACGTTTCAAGATCTTGGGAAAAAGTATAATCAAAAACACATCCAACCTGCCGCTATCGATATCTTGCAAGGACGGTACAACTATCTAGACGATTCACTCTTGGCCGAAGCCGCTTTCGAAATTATGGATAAACGTTTCGGAGTGAACAAGTATGCCGTCGGGGAAGAGACCTTGGTTGTCGAGGAGTTTTGGGCAGTAGGGTATCACGCGCTGAGATTTCATGATCAGAGGGCGGATATGTATGTATTTCTAACTTTTTCATTCCCAATCAGATCTTACTATAACTTACACACATCCTATCGAAGCATGATTTCAAAAATTCAAACATGGTTTTCCATATTTTACATATTTTAGGGTTTTCGTACATATACATATTTTCATACATATTTTGAGGTTTTTTCGTAAATACACATATTTTCCTACATATTTCGAGCATTTTCTAAAAATAAACATTTTAAT